AACCACAAGTCAAAAGCCAAAACACAGAGACCATCAAATTGTTTAAGCTTAACTATTTATTTGCCGTAATCAAATGACGGATGAATGGATGGATGGATGGATGGATGTTGGAATACACTCGCATTAATAACAATATAATAAATAACGAAAACAACTTCTCTTACAACTAAATCTAGCAAGTATATGTATGTAATTTCATTCCTATTTATAAAAATTGTGATTGGAAGTCATCCCTTCCCTCCACACCCATGCTTAGCTCCTACTACATATAAGAGGCTGCATTTATTTGTTCATACCTCTTAACTCTTCTACACGCTTACAAAGCATCATCGACTTGAAACTTGATCAAGTCCTCCACTGGAAAGCGGAAGAGTGAGACAGCTTGAGCTTCGGACGCCAGCTGTTCGACACTCGCCGAATCGCTGCGACGTTGGAAGTTGCTGTGTGCTGCGATGCGATCGTAGTGCGTAGCATTCTCCGCCACGTCCAGCTTGTTGGTCACCAAAGCCTCGGCACGTGGCAAATCGGTGACTTCCTCGGCCACAATCGGATGTTCAAAGTCAACTAGAGCCTCCGGTTCAGAGCTGTCACGGCGTGAGATTTGCTGTTCCGGGGAATTTGTAGAGTTCGTGTTCCGCGACTGTTGGCGAGGCTCAATCGGTGACAGAGATTCTCCTTCCTCCATAATAATATTCCGATTTATATTATGTGGTGGATTATAAAATGGGTTATTGGATGTGGGCGCCGGTAAGGCTGGTAGTGCATTTKGTTTTTGTTTGGGGAAAAGATTTAGGTGAACCATTATTTCATTCTGATTACCTTTAAAGGCATTCGATGGACCGCTGCCACTCAGGCCTGTGGGGCTAGACATGTGTGGTGACATGTCGACCGGTATGAAGGGTGTTTGGAATTGTGACTTTGAAACTTGGTCAGGAAAACTAATTTGCATGTTGTTCGATTGCGGCATGTTAGGTTGTAGGTGGGGTTGTGCAGACGAAGGGAATCGGAACGGAACAAAAGCCGGTTGTTCATATGCGTGGTTGAAGCCATATGCGGCCGTAGACGGGATCACAGGGATGGAGTAGTGATCGAGAAACGGATTGCGAACCGCATGTGGCCTGCGAGTTGATGAAGACACTTTCACYTCATCATACGTGAAGGCAGAKGGTKTGAAATCTCTTGTGGGCGGTAACATCGGGTAGATATCGAGGTTTACTTTGAGGGGTACTCTTGTCATTTTCGCACGTTGTGCGTCACTGATCTCCAACAGTGGTTGATAGCCAGCCATGTACGGATCTGTGGCGAATGGACGCTGATTGCTGAATTGCTGTAACATCATATTGGYGTTTGAGTTCAACGGTTTTTGTTTGTTCTTCTTTTTATTTTTCGAAAGATTGCTCTGAAGTTGCAGGGCCAACAGATTGATGTCRTTCGGTGAGCGTGGTTTGAAGGGATAAATCTGATCCATAGCAATGCGTTGCTGATACGGCGCATGAGGCATCATATTCATGATTGGTGACGGAAAAGGTTTCATCATTTGCATATTCACCGGTATTGGCATGGGTATACTGAACTGCATTTGCTTCCTATTCCGTTTACCGCGGAAAAAGTTGGCAATGCCACTAGACTTRAGATTCCTCAGTGAGCCCGCGATATGCAAGCCAGTGGGCATCATTACCATTGGTGGCACTTTACTCGGTCCACCACCCAACTGCAATTGGTGCAGTATGTCTTGTATGTTTCTCACATCGCCGCGCTCCTCTTCAGCCTTCKTGAATTCTTGCGGCAACGGGCCTTCATGGGGAAAGTGGAAGGGCTTSGGCTTTTCCTCGTTTGCAAACGTCGAATTGATCGGTATATCGATGTACTGTCGCCTGCTAAGCAACATCGATGGTTGACGTGAGGTGAGTCGCGGTGGGCGGGGTATCTGGTCACGCAGATCGCTCCGCACCGGTGTCATTGTAGATGAACGTCGTGGCAACTGTTCGTACAGATGCATGGACTGGCGCTGACGTGCGGCTCCAATATTCGCAGTTGGGCGATAATCACTGTCAAAGCCGTTGAGCCGCCCCTCACCACCTCCCATGCCGAATGCATCGCCGCCACCGCCGGCTGTGGCACCCACTAACGGCAGCGGTTGTGGTCGCCTCGCTTTCGTGCGCCATGTTCCATAAATCGGCTGTTCATACACCGAACTGCCGCCACCAGCAGCCTCAGCACCAACGCCAACATCGGCACGCTCTAGTAAATAAGCCGTTTCGGTGCTCTTGCTAGCATGCAACTTTTCCTCTTGCTCATGCTGGATTTGTTGCTGTTGGTATTGTTGTAGTTGTTGCTGTTGCTGTAAGTGCGCCTGTGCGCGCATCTCCTCCAAGCCGTCGACTTTCATATGATTCGGTGTTCTCAGCGGTCGGGTACGCGGCTGCAGCGCATGTGTTGCTGGCAACTCGGTGCGCAGCTGCACCTCCTGACCATCGATCTGCACCACAGTGGGCAGTGCTGTGTCGCCGCTCGTTGGGTTGTAGCTCTGTATGTTGCGCGTGCGCAACGCTGCGGTTTGATTCTGATAATATTCGGCGGTGGATGCGACCTTCACGATCATCAGGGACATCTGTGGATGGAAGAAAAAGAACATGTCSCTAAAATTAAAGTTTTTAAAGTTAACATATTGCAGCGTTTGTTGTTGTTGCCTTCAATTCTAACTATTGAATTAGAAATGAGCGTACCCCATTTTCTTCATTATTGCAACGGATATAAAATTATATAGGACCAAAATCCCAAATTTTCTCTTTTTTTCCAACATTCTAATATCCTGATAATTCTACTGCAGAAGAAGCTCCCATTCATGGTAACCCTTTCTTTATAGGCATTTTTTTCGAATAATCTTTCTATGTGATGGTAGTC